ACACACACACACACACACACACACACACACACACACACACACACATACTGCAGTAAGTCACACGTTATGCCTCAGAGGAAAGTTGATAACAGAAATGCATAAAGACACTCAAAGACTCTTTGCTATTCAAAATGTAACTGTCATACTTGACTTAATTTTACAATCCCCATAGAAGTGGGGTTTACACTTTCACAGCATGGCATCATACTGGGGGGTGTTCCAGCTAGATCAGGTTTATATGTCTTCCATCCATGAGTTTTTTATATTCATGTTCCGTATGTGCTTGTAGAGTTTAGACCATGAGCATACTATGCAGTTGTAAATTATTTTAAGGAAATATTTATGGTACATGAATGTTTCTGAGCTAGTTCACCCAAATAAACCTCAATATCCAAATAAATCATGTTTTTTTTCAAGTTCAAGTCAACTTTATTGTTGTTTGAATTGTGCCGCTCAAGGTGGCTGCATGTTGGAGCAGCTCTGTTACTTTCATTTTGAGATTTTGCTTTTGGAAACTTTAATTCCTCTTTTTCTGGATGTAAATCACATTTTTTTGAATGATTGTTTCCTCTGGTATCGGATGCTGTGCAGCTGGAAGGATTATCTTGATGCATGCTCAATAATCCAGGTAGAAAAATCCAAAAAAGTTCAATCTGGTCCTCTGGACATTCAAAAAAACAAAAGCAAAACAAAGCAAAAAAAATTCTAGAAACGTTTCGTCTCTCATCCAAGAGACTTCCTCAGTCTGAGGTGCTGTTTTCAGCTCAGTCTCTTAAATAGCACCTTCTTAGAGAGGATCAACCAGTTTGCTGCTGACAACCAAAACCAGCTGATCACATGCTCAAGAAGGACCATCAGCCTAACAATGGGTCATTAGCACACTGATGGCTATTTACTACTCACAGAGGGCTGAGTGATACTAGCAATCACAGCATTGTAAGAGGGGGACAGTTGAACCCGGAGGCCTCCACCCCTGTTTAATGATGGACGATTTCTTTTCACAAAGATGGCCTCCTTTACTCCTCTCTCAAACCATCGTTCCTCTCTGTCCAGGATGTGAACATCTTCATCCTTGAAAGAGTGACCGCTGGCCTGGAGATGAGTGTAGACCGCAGAATCCTGGCCTGATGATGTTGATCTTCTGTGCTGGGCCATCCTTTTGGCCAGTGGCTGTTTAGTTTCCCCGATGTAAGACTGATCACAGCCCTATACACATATATATATATATATATACATATATATATGTGTATATATATATATGTATATATATATATATATATATATATATATATATATATATGTGTGCGTGTATGTATGTATATATGTATGTATATATGTATATATGTGTGTGTATGTATGTATTTATGTATGTATATATGTATATATATGTGTGTGTATGTATGTATATATGTATATATATGTGTGTGTATGTATGTATACATATGTATGTATATATGTATACGTATATATGTATATATATGTATACGTATATATGTATATATATGTATATGTATATATGTATATATATGTATATGTATATATATGTATATGTATATATGTATATATATGTATATATATGTTTACGTATATATGTATATATATGTATATGTATAAATATGTATACATATATATGTATACATATATATATGTATATATGTATAAATGTATATGTATATATATGTATATGTATATATATGTATATATGTATGTATATGTATATATGTATGTATATATTGTTTTGCTTTCCCATAAGCAAGGTAACCACTGGGGTTAGTGATAAGCACCTTGCTTGCAGCCTCTTCTCCAAGGGGTCCAGAAGCCAACCTCAGCGCCGTGGTATTACCTACAGCTTTCTAAAGTGGCCTCATTAAGGCTGTGACGAGGTGATTCATCCAGAAAATTAACGACCTTCTATCCGCAAGTCACACCCTGATCTCACTCTTTACCTCGATCCTTCCAAGCAGCAGGGATTGGGTCGTCTGGTCCAGAGAAACTCACGTTAAAGTTGAACCAAGCTTCACCATGTGTCTGTTCAGTGTGTATGAAATAATAGTCCAGATTTATAAGTTTTGCTTTGCTTTAATCAATAATTTTGCATGGGGGTTCAGCAACATGCACAATTTTACAATAATTAATTTTCATGATTACATAGGATACACTTCTTCACTTAGGTAAGGCGATGGATTCTTCCTGATGACTTCCGATCCCCAAGAGCCCTTGGGGACCTGCGAACACTACTTCCACTCGGACCTTTCACACCTCAAGCCAAAAGATGTTCTCTCTCAACTCTCACTATCCAGAAACACCTCCGAGCAAAACTCACTAGTACCCAGTTTAATACCCTTAAATTTATCCTGTGTGCTGTGATTCTAACCTGACAGATTAATTTATTTAGAGCAGATGGACAGGGAAGTCCTCTTACCATGATTCTGAGGTAACCCTCAGAGAATCTCTGTGATGATAAGAAGCATATTTCCAGTCTCCCTGGGGGGGAGTACAGGCCAACCCAAAACAAACGCAGCTGTGCCAAATTGGTACGATCAGAGCTTTGGACGAGCCCAGGCCAAGCTCTTGTCAGGAGTATGGAGCCTCTCCAGTCTTGTTATTGACAAGTGAAGACTTAAATCCAATCCCGTTTCGGCGAGAAGAGAAGTAAATCCCAGCCTCATCTCAAACTGGTAAAGTCCAACTCCTTTGGGCTCTTCTGATCCCCCGAGCTGCTTCTGCTTGTAGTCCCTTCTGCCCGACTCTTCGACTCAGCTTTGACCACATTTCATCAGTCTAATCTCTATTTAAAGACCCCTTGTCCTCCTCCTCTAAGGAGGGGTTTAGGGTTTTTCTTGGAAAATTACATCATCCTTTATTCCAGTATATGACTGTTGTCCATATCTTAACCGGTCTTAACCGTTTTTTTTGGGTACTTTCCACAAAGTTGTTTTTCACTGCTCATACCAACATTTGTTTCCTGTTTTGCTCAGAAGTGCGTCAGCACGAGATGAGTCGAGATGAACTCCATGACCTTTTGTTTTTCTCACTATAATGTTTTTCAATCATACATGCTTATTACTAATAGTTCAGAATAACTCCTGAAAATCTTTACAAGGGTTATATACTGACCACTATCCCCAGTTTGTACTTTTTGCATTCATAACTGGCTTTTGTTCTTTTCCCTTCCACTTAAGACATGTACAGACTTGTTTTTGTGCTTAAGGCATGTTCAGACTTTTTATGGCAACAGGCTTGTTATGGTACATCAGGTCTCGATCTGCTCCTACATTTCAACACTTTTCAATAACAAGTAATTCACACAATCATACAATCGGTTACACAATTCTTATAAATCATTAGTTGATTACTTGTTGATTATTGGTATATCACTTTTTGATTACACATTTTTATATTGAGCTTGATTACTATTAATGATTTTTAAAGCAGAAGTTCAGTTCTTTGTTCTCAGCTGTGGAGGAGAATGGATCAGCCTTCACCTCATTAAAGCTGGCTGTCCGTTACTCCATCATTTGGACACCAGGTTTATCAACACCCCCTTCTTGAAGTCAGATCCTTCTCCTTTTTGGTGCCAGGTTTGCTGTATCTAGCACTCCTGTTCTCCCTCCCAGGAGTCAACCACTGTCATGTTGTCCAGGTTGGTGTTTGGTGTGAGCTGTCCCGCCTGCTCTTCATCTGGTGGCGTTCGCTTCCTGGGCCCCCGGGCTTGTTGGGTCTTGACAGAAGGTTGACCTGGCGGGTTGACCCCTGATAGGTCAGCCGATCTGTTGGACTGAAGGGTTGGTGGTTCCTCGGTTAGGGGTGAATCCACAGGGGTAATGGGTTCTGTAATTATCTGCCCCTTGGTTGGTGGGATCTTTGCAACTAGATTGGGCGTTTCACAAAACTGATTCAGTCCCAGGGGGACAACCCTCAACACTTCAGATTCAGCTATTTCTGAAAGGGGGAGCCCTTCTGGTGTTAAGATCGGGGGCTCAGAATCTGCTGGGCTGGTTGGGTCAGTGAGAACGGTGCCATCGGTACTCAGGGGTCCAGACTGGCTCGCTTCACTACTCAGGTACCTACTGAAGTCATCCAGGTAGTTGTCCAAGAAACTTAGAGCACTGCGTTCTAATGGGAGTTCGGGTGACCTTCGGATCATCTCCACTTCCATGGGCTCGGCTTCATACTGGGACTTTGCTGGTAAAGGGTTGGGTGGGCCAGTGGTTGGTTCCTGGGGCTGGCTGGCTATCACGGTTGGGGTCATATAGATATTAACACTGGCACGTCTACTTTCTCTCAAGGCTGCCGTTGGTACGGAGACTACCAGAGGGGTAGTTGTCAACCCTGCTGTTAAAGTGGCCGAAATTGATGAGGACATGGGTTCTTGGTGCCCCTGTTTGAACTTGAAAGAGGGGCCGTGAACCAAGGGTAACCCTGTAGCTAAATGATAGGCTACATGCCTGGTAACTTTGTTGGTGTTTTCCCAGAGCTTTACTATTACTGGGTAATATATGGCTCGTAGGGATATAGGGGTCAGAGCCCTCGGCTGAGGTCCAGATGCTCTTGCAGGTGCTCTCCGTCTCCCAGCACTTTTCTGCAGACACTTGAGGGAGACTTTCGGGCTCCTCTGAGACTAGAATGCCATGCACCCCTGTCGCGATTACTACCTTAGAGTGACAGCCTTGGCACCACAAGGTTGGACCCACCGCCCATAGGAAACGGGTCTTCTCCAACCCTAGAAGGCAATAACAGCAGACCGTTGAAGGTTCTGCTGCTGTCAAGTTGTTGGGGCGCTGAACCTGTATGGTGACAGTTGTGACTTTGGTCTAAAACCTATTCCCTTAATTACTTTTTAGTGTAAGGTTTTCTTAAACTGATAAAGGGTGATTCTACCCTGTCGTCTGGTGATCCCACAATAGGTGTGGGTAATGAATTTCTCCCACTCTTCCAATTGGTTTATTTGTTGGGTTGTTATTACTGTTTTCCAATCACAGTACCCAGGTAGCGCCGCCCCAGAGGTGTTGGAGATTCCGTATTCCCTATATGTAACCCTTATGGATTTTTCCTTCCCTCTAGATTCTGTTATCTTGATCTTGCATTCGTTACCACAAGGTGTTTCTTTAATCATCTTGATCTGTTGATGGTCATATACTTCCTCTTCGCAGTGGCAGAGGATGATCTCTCCGGTTTTTGTTGTTGCTACAATTTTGTCCTGGACTGTGAAAGCGGACGTCCAGCTGCTGTAGATGGTTGCTGAGGTCAGGATGCAGATCAGCGTCTGGATTCTGCTCCTTATGCCTTCTAGAAAGAGAATA